TCTCAAGCAGCAGCACATGTGTTTTTAACTAACCATATACTACTATTGTTAAGTGCAATCAAGTCAGTTCTGTCTTGACTTGTATCACTATCAAGTCTCATAGTGACCCTGTGTAGCAGAGACGGGGAATGTCCAGCCAATGGGCTGTGTAAGGCCCGTGAAATCATTTGTCTAGCCCTGCCAAGGTAACCACAGTTTCAACCATCACATAGCTGTTCTCATTGTTAACTGACAATTTGAAACCACAGCAACCCAGTACAGGGTTTCCAAAGAGCGGCTGGTGGGTTTACACCATCACATTGTTGTTGTTGTTATGTGCCGTGGAGTCGGTTCCAACTCATAGCGACTCAGTACAGGGTTTCCAATTATGGGTGAGTTAATCAAATATAGCAGGCTAATTTTTATGTTGATAATTTTGTATGACCCACAAATGATATAATAAATTTTAGCAAAAAAATGTTCCTCACTCCAGCTGTATACAGTTTCCAAGGAGCAGCTGGTGGATTTGAACAACTGACCTAGCGTTCTCAGTCCAGTGCTTAACCTACAGTATCAGACTAGTACTCCATATACTTACTGTTGTTGTTGTTGTTAGGTGCCATAGAGTCAGTACTGACTCATAGCGACCTTATGCACAGCAGAACTTAACACTGCCCGATCCTGGGCCAATCTCACTACTGTTGCCACACTTGAAGTCCATCAATGTTGCCACTGTACCAGTACATCTCATTGGGGGTCTTCCTCTTTTTCTCTGGCCCTCCACCTTACCAAACATGATATCCTTCTCCAGCAACTGGTCCCTTCTGACAATATGCGCGAAGTATGAGACACGAAGTTTGGCCATCTTGACCTCCAAGGAGCACTCTGGCTGCACTTCTTCCAAAACAGATCTATTGGTTCTTTTGGCAGCCCATGGCATTTTCAATATTCTCCTCCAACACCATAACTCAAATGCATCAATTTTTCTATGGTCTTCCTTATTCACTATCTAGCTTTCACATGCATATGAGTTTATTGAAAATACTATCACTTGGGTCAGGCGCACCTTAGTTCTCAAGCTGACATCTTTGCTTTTCAACACTCTAAAAAAGTCTTGGGCAGCAGATTTGTAGACCATGTTTTTTAATGAAAATTAGTAACAATAACGTAATTTTTAAACCCTTGAAAGTTTTTTTGGGGAACGCAAAATATATTTCTAAAGAATTCAAGGTTCAAAGAACACACTGTAATTAAATTTAAAAAATAATTTAACAATTAAAAAAAAACCACCTGATATATCCAGAAAATTTATGTGATACAGTTAACGTGGTAAAATGCATAGCCTTAAATACTTACGACAGATGAAAAAGGTTGAAAATTAATGAACTAAGCAATCAATTTAAGAAATTTTAGGGGAAAAAAAACAAGATAAACCTAAAGAAAGTAGACGGAATGAAACAAAGTATGTGATTTGTTGAATGTAAAAACTGATGAAGTTGTCTATAAACAATTCACAATAAAGTATTTTTTTAAAAAAAAAGAAAGCAGGAAGAAGGTACAGATCAAAGCAGAAGTTATAGAATAGAAAAGATATGAAAGCCCACTCACTGCCATGGAGTTGATTCTGACTGATAGCCACCCTACAGGACAGCAGAGCTGCTCCATAGGTTTCCGAGACTGTAAATGTTCACAGAAGCAGACGGCTGCATCTTTCTCATGAGGAGCAGCTGGTGGGTTTGAAATGGCTACCATGCAGTTAGTAGACTAACACTTAACCCACTGCGCTACCAGGGTCCCTTAGAAAAGATATAAAAGCATAAATGAATGTTGCTTCTTTGAAGTTATCTACAAAATAGCAATCTCTCAGAACAGATGTACAAAGGGCCACCAGAAAACTTCCTGGAGTGGGAGAAATGTTCCCTATCTTGCATTGTATAGTTGTGACACAAGTCTATACATATGTCTGAACTCAACAAACTAAATACTTAGGATCTTTGCATGTTAAAAACAAAAGTAAGAAGAAATTAAGGATAAATTATGCATGTAGTTCCTTCCATAAATTGTAGAAATTAAAATTTTTTGAGTCATTTGGAAATTTGAATGCAGATATTTGATAAATAAAAATGATTAAAACATTTTTATTTTTATGTGATAATGGTATTATAATCATGCTAAAATAAGAAAATTCTGATCTTTCAGAGATCTATTCTGAAATTGTTATATGTAAATTACGCAACATCTGGATTTTGTTTCAAAATATTACTAAGAGGGGACGTGCTCAAGGTGAGACTAAGACATAATTGGTTATGGCTATTGGAGTAACAGGGGTTCGTTATAATGTCTTCTTCAAATATGTCATCATTAAGTACCACTGAGTTGGTTCCAACTCATAGCAACCCTACAGAGTAGGTGTTGTTTTTGTTGTGAAGTGCCATCAAGTCAATTCCAACCCATAGCGACCCTGTATAGGGTTTCCAAGGAGCAGCTGGTAAACTTGAACCACCAACCTTGCAGTTCAAATGACTTTGCAGTCTGAACCACTAGCCCACAGAGCCACACCAGGACTCCATAGAGTAGGTGTGGGGAACCTTTTTTCTACCAAGGGCCATTTGGGTATTTATAACATTACTTAATATAAATTTATGTTGCTATGAAAAAAAGCTCCTAGATTTATTGAATTTTGAGTTTCACCTGAAGTTGCCTTGGCAGGGCCATACCAAATGATTTCACAGGCTTACACAGCTCATGGGCCCGGCATTCCCTACCTCTTCCAAAGTTCAAGGTGTGAACTGCCAACCTTGTGGTTCACAGACCAGTGCTGATCCTACAGCACCACGCCAGGAGTCCAATCAAGCATATATGCTCAAAATTCTCTGAAATAAAAGGTTTTCTAAAAAAGGAAGTAGACCCACGTGACCTGGACCGGATGACTGGATGATCGGAGCTCAACCAGGAAAGGAAAGAAGAGGGGAAAAAGAAAAGAAAAAAAAAAAGAGTGAGCTGATACAGTCTGATGAACTTGACCTATACCTATGGTGCAGCGACTCAAAAGAGGGAACAAATCCTTACAGCAAGAAACATTCACACACCCACACACACACAGAGTGGATGGAGAAGGGCAGCTTGGACATTGGATACTCAAATGGGGAGGAGGGGACTACAAAGGCAAGAAGTGACTGGCTTACAAGCTTTCAAGAGGGAACCTGGTGCTAGGGAGCATGGCGGAAGGCAGAAGCTCCAGTAGGTACTATTCAATTTGTCTGGGCAGAGCTGATGAAAGGAGATACAGATGGGTAATGCTTATCAGGACGGACTATAAGGGTTGCAAATGCAAAGGTAGAAGTTTTGTAAAAAGGAAGGGAGTGATTAATTCTCCAGGATAGGAGCGGAGGCCTCTGGGACCATCAACGGAGAAGAGCTGAGAGCAGGACCCTACCCAGAGAAACAGAGATGCCTGAGATAGAGACAGATGATGACGTGGAGTGATGAAGCGACTGGGGACCTTGGACCCAGAGAGGGAAAGGGACTGTGGGCCGAAAACTGGGGGGAGGAGGGGGAAGTGTAGGGGGTGGGTTTCTGGGATATACCCTTTGGGTGGTTGATGATGCATGGAGGGGATAGGAACCATGGCAATGAGATGATATACGATGGAATGAATGTAAAACTAAAGTTCTCCCATGTAAACTATCATATAATTCACAATAAAACATTAAAAAAAAAAAGGAAATAACATAAGATGATTTTAGCAATGAAAATATAATGTGCTCTCCAGTCAAAATCAAAAGCTCTATATCAACAAATCAGAAAATCTAGGAAAAAACATTAAAATATTTCACAAGCAAATTATATCAAGCAAGGAATAAATAATTCTAAGTTTACAGAAACTATCCCAAAGTACAGAAAAAGGAGAAATGTTCTCCCACCTCTAAATTCTTTTATGAAGCCAGCACATACTTAATACTGAAACCAGACAGGAAAAATGACAGGCTAACTCATTCACTGACAATTAAAATTTCAGGTTAACCTCACTCACTGACACTAATGGTGAGACACTTAAAAACTTTACTTTTCAACATCAGGAAAAAGACAAGGATGTTTGCTATACACATTCTATTAGTACTTTACTAGAGGTCTTGGTTGGCATAATAACTTTTTTTTAATATTTTTTAAAATCATAAAGATAAAAACCCACTTTATTCATAGCTAGTATGACTACCTATATATAAAGCCCAAAGGAACCAAGAGATAAATAATCATAATAAGAGAATTCAGGAAAGTTGCTGGACCTGAAATCAATGTGGGAAAGTCTACTACATTTCTATATACTAGCAAGGAAAAACCAGTTCTCAAGAATATGTATAATGAAACAAGTATAAGACTTCTGTGAAAGAAATACAGAAATTACTGAGGCTTTATAAAAGAATTAAATAAATGAAAAGATAATTATCAATGATAAACTAGAAATACTGAATGGCATAGATAGTACATAAGCAAATTTTTATCTGCGGTATTACTTAAGAGGAGAAGGGAGATGATTAGGGGGACAAATGTCTGAAAAAGCTCCTCAGGGGAGTGAGAGAGAAAAAGAAGTTAACAAACATTATCTAGGGGAATTTTAAAACCAAAGAATTGAATGAAAGACAAGTTACTATATATATATAGTACAATCGCACTGGAAAATAGACAAAATAATAGTGTCTAGGGATATATACCCATGTGGGGCTAAACAACAATAAAACACAACATTCAGAATGGGGTGGGTAGAAGCCTGCTGAAATCTAGGAGTATCATGTAAGGAGATTCCAAAGTGTTGGCTGTGTTCTTTCCCTGGACTGGGAAAGTAGATATACAGGTATTCATTTTATTATTCCTCATCCCTAATTTATTCATGTATTTTGGTATGCTTGAATGTTTTGTTCTTAAAAACTACTATTTTCAAATGTCACATCAATTTATTATAAGTAAAACTGTGATAATTTCATTTTAACTATACTAATATTGTTACTATTGAATGCTCATACCCAGCCACCTTGCTGAATGATATAGTCGGCTGCATTGTCCTCCAGATATGTGACGCCAAACTGTAGCAGTGCACTCAGGGGTTCTTGACCACGTCTTGTCAACTCCAGAAGCATTTGCTTTAGCAAAATCAAAGGCACCAAAATCTTCAATGCAAAGATGAGAGAGAATCAGAAAATACCCTGAAATTCATATCATTTGTTTTATATATTCAACTACTCAGCTACATCATTATGGGCTGCTCTGGTAGCATAGTGGTTATGAATTGGGTTGCTAATCTCACGGTCAACAGTTCGAAACTACCAGCTGTCCCATGAGAGAACGATGAGGCTTTCTGCTCCTGTAAAGATTTACAGTGTCGGAAACCCTGTACAGGGTGGCTACGAGTTGGAACCGACTGCACAGCTCACCAACACCAGCAGTGTAGAGAATCTTCATGTGCCTACTACATTTCTTCACTGAAGAAATGTCTATTAAAATCTTTTGCCTATTTTTAGTCTATTTGTCTTTCTATTGTTAAATAGATTTATTGAGTTACTTATAGATTCTGTATATAAGACCTTTTGCAAACATTTTGTGGATTGCCTTTTCACTTTATTATAGTGTTTTTTGAAGTGAAAAAGTTCTAAACGAGGAAGTCAAATGTACCCATCTTTTTGACTTGTCACTTGCTATTTGTGTCATATCCAAGAAATCATAACCTAACCTAAGGTCATGGAGATTTATTCAAATGTTTTCTTCTAATAACTTTGTAGTTTTTAAAAGTCATCATATACAATAAAACCTATCTCTGATCTTAGTAAATTTGGTATCTTTTCCTTACATACTATTAAAATAGCACACATTTAACTAAAACATAAAATCTTTAAATTACTAAATATTAACTAGCATTCATATTTTTTAAAGAGAAAATATGACCTTTAAAAACTATGTGATACTGCTGTTGTTAAGTGCCATTAAGTCAGTTTTGACTCATAGTGACCTTGTATAGGGTTTCTAAGGAGCAGCTGGTGAGCTTAAACTAGCCACCTTATAGGTCAGTGCATTATCCCACAGTGCCACACCAGGACTTACTTTGACATTAAGATCATTTAAAACAGGATTTTAAGAATCATCGAAAGAAAGACCATTTAATCATGTACCTCTAAATCTCTTATTTTCCATCTACCAAAGGAACAAAGAATGCAATCAAGGAGCACGAGTGAAAAATCTGGTTTCTCTAAATTCTCCCATTTGTTTAATCTTTACCTTAAAGTTTTTTTTTTAAACATTGAAAAAAAAAACTAGAAGACACTTTAAAAATAGATGAATATTAAATGCATCTTATAATTCAGTAAACGGGAATGTATCAATCGAAAAATGAGCAAAAAAAAAAAAAAGATATTTCCCAAGAAAGGGGAAAAAAATGGACCCTACACATAAAAATACAGTTTGTTGTTAAGTGTTGTTGAGTCGGTTCCAACTCATAGCGACCCCGTATAGAGTTTCTGATGAGTGGCTGGTGATCTTGAACTGCTGACCTTGCGGTTCAAATCAATCTTGTAGTCCAGTGCATTAAACCACAGCACCACACCCTGATTCCAAAAATACAGTTACCCTCATTTAAAATAAGAGAAATGCAAACAAAAATGAAACAGAGATACCATTTTTTAACTGTAAGATAAATCAGTATGTTGGCAAGGATATGAGGAAACTGGCATTCATACACACTACTACTGGTGGTAGCGTAACTAATATAAATCTCCATTGTGAAAATCTGACAAAGCCTGTACAACTTTAGAGCTTCTCAGATCCTTCAACTCAATATTCCAGGTCTGGGAATTATCAAAAACAGAGAGACAGGGGAAGACAGAAACATGTGAACCAACAAAGACACAAGAAAATTCATTAAAGCATAGTTTATAATAGCAAAAGACTAGAAACAACCCAATACGGGTCGGTTAAATAAATTTTGCTCATCTTGTAAAATATTACTTAGTTAAAAGAGTTAGGCTGTTTATTGACCTAATCTCCAGGATTTACTTTAGTGAACTACAAGATAAAGAAGAGTGTGTACCATATACTATCATTTGTTTAAAAACTAAATAAATATATACACACATATATAACTGTATAAGTCTATAGTAAACTCATAAACAAACTGGTAACAATGGTTGCCTAAACAGAGGGGAAACTAGGTAACTGGTAGCATGGGTAGAAAATAGATTTTCTTTTCTCTCCTTTTTTGCATTTTTTATGATATACTTTTATAACTATTTAAAAAAATAAAAGACTTTTTAAACATTATGAGCTATCATATAAAAGTAATCAAACATCTATAATTATAAGAGCTGCAATAGTACTACTGTTAAGTGCTGTCGAGTTGATTCTGACTCATAGTGACCCTTTATAGGGTTTCCAAGGAGCTGCTAGTGGGTTTGAACTACTGACCTTTTGGTTAGCAGTCCAATGCTATCCTACAGCGTCACATCAGCAGCAGTATTACCCATATCTGAAAATCCCACGACCCAATAATTTGAAACAATCATCAAAATCTATGATGAAAAATAACTTGAGCTCCCTGCCCTCCTTTAAAAAAAACAAAAACAAAAAAAATTACATACTGAAAAGAACGAAGTGTTTTCAGTTAACCATTTGCATTTATTTTCTTTTTTTGTCTAAAACATCAAGAGATCTCCACACGACTAGAAAAGGAATGCAAAAAGGAAATTAAACCAATTTCGGTTCCTTGCTACTGGGCTGCCAAAGTAATAACTGAGAAATGACATTTTTCTGCAGATGAAGACAAACACACAAACATTGAATTTATATTTCATATTAATAATCTTTAGCTTTTAAGTAAAAGCAGTCCAGGTAATCTATATTAATGTCTCAAAGAAAGAATGCAACAAACTGTCATTTCTGAACATTCTAAAAGAACTTCAGCCCAAAATATATTGAAAACCCTTTCTTAACAATAATGGAGAGTTAAGAGTGTTATAAAGAATAATATAACGATATTGGATTTTTTCCACAATAAGAATACCTGTCATACTGTTAAAATGAAAAACAGCTAAAAACTGTTTTCCCTCTAGACCAATATTTGTCTCTGGCAGAAGCACTAAGGAATGGCTTGTAAATCAGTTTTCCTATCAACTTCTAAACTCTACATGTTCTGTACCTCAAAACATTCTAATGCACTAGTATGCATCATTTTAAAGTCATTTATGCTTAAGCTTTTAGTTATAAATTATAACAACAGTTGTTAGTAACTTTTTATTTTATCTTGAGAAAATGGGCTGCAAATATTTTATGCTCACTATAGAAAAGTGGTTTGAACCATAAGGTCAGCAGTTCAAGCTGATCAGCTGCTCCTTGGAAACCCTATACTGGGTCACTGTGGGTAGGAACTGACTCAATGACACTTAACAACAATTTAGGAATATAGTCAATGAGATGAAATAGGATTCATGACTAAAATTAAGATAGGCGTGACAGAGGATTGTGAATTTATCATTATTGTATATTAAAACTAGAGTGTCTACATTTTGATATATGAAGAGGTAAATTTGGAACAAAGTATTATTTTCTATTGTCGTTAAGTGCCATGGAGTCAATTCTGACTCATAGAGATCCTGTATGTATAGGGTTTCCGAGGAGTATGTGGTACCACCGATCCTGTGGTTCAAACAGACTTTTCGGTCTAGTGCCTTATCCTGTAGCACTACCAGAACTCCATGGATTTCCAGGTTAGAATCTACTAATCTTTTATTCTGTCCTCATTATGGCACCTTCTTCCTCGGAACTTCTCCACCTCAACTCTATTTTCTTGAGATGCAGTAACCACAGTGAAGAAGCTTCATTTACACAAGGACTAATATTTTCTGTTGAGTTGATAATACCCTACTTAGTGATACATGTTATGGCAAATGATTCCTCCTACAACTATCGGACAACCAGTACTATGTATCAGGAGGATGCATCTGACCTATTTGAATACTCTCTTCAGGGACCTGAATGGGGTCCATGGTCTGATTTAAGTACAGAGTGTTTTCTTTAAATGGTTAAGTGCTCTTGCCCTCTAATTTTTGTGCCCACAAACAAAACAAAAGCTTCATGAGTTGATTCTGTATTTTATCCCCATTAACGTGGTATCTTATTATATACAAGACTTTGATATTATCTGAGCAACCTGTTACTTTGAACTCCCTTTTCTCATCTAATTTTTTTTAATTTGTTAAAACAAAACTAGATCCTCAATCATCTGTTCTAGGAGTTCCCACTATTCATATTTCTAAGTCTAAAAAGTAACCAAATAAGCTTATTTTTTGAATTCCTTTTTGTAAGTCACTTTCATACTAGATATAGTAATCCCCACAGTGCATATAAATTACTTGTTTTCTTCAGGAGCTTATGTGATAGAAAGCTAAAGCACTTTAAAAAAAAAAAAGCATAAATTTATTCTATCCATTATAATTTATATTTGAATTAATTCATAATCCAAAGGAAACAGAACACTTATTTTTTTTTTTTAATTAAATGTTTTTATTTTGGATTGAGTGAAAGTTTATAGGGCACATCATCAGCTTCACATTCAACCATTCATATAGCTTGTTTCATTACATTGATTATTATCCCCTCCATATATCATCAGTTAACAGTGTTTCTCTCTATCCTCTTTAGCTTTTTTTTTGGATGAGCTAAAGCACTTTTGATCATCAAAAGAGATTACCTCCATTGACTGGCTCATCTTTACCCACATACAGACCTAATCCCCTGATATGCACCTGTGGTTTCTTTTTCTAATTGTTGTTAAGTGCTGTCGAGTTGATTCCAACCCATAGCTACCCTGTATAGGGTTTCCAAGGACCAGCTGGTGAGCTTGAACTGCCAACCTTGCAGTTCAAACGGCTTTGCACAGTCTGGTGCATTAACCCAGAGCCACAACAGGACTCCCTGTTTCTAACAGGTTAGTCTTAATAGTAAGTTAATAACTTCATATTTTATTAAGGGATCAATGAGTTTGTCTGGTGCTGAAGTAATCCAACCATTGTCAATTTATGGCTCTGAGGGCCCCTTCAGAACAATGGATATTTATGATCATAAATTAAGTATTTGGGCTCATCAATCTACTATTTCACCCTCCTGAACCTTAACAATTCTATGAAATGTCACAGCCCATAAATTTTATCTATACCAATTTACTAAGTAGGTTTGACCTGCCGGCTTCAAAATACAATTTAAAAGACAATACGACATCATTGCATATTCAGTGTTAAAAAGTAAAGATGTCACTCTAAGGACTAGAATGCACCTAACCTAAGCCATAGTATTCGGTCACCACGCTGGAAATTGAGTAAGAAAGATCAAAGAAGAATCTATGTCTTTGAATTACAACGTTGGCAGAGAATACTGAATATACCATACCATGGACTGCCAGAAGAAGTAGAGCAAGAATGCCTCTTAGAAGCAAGGATGTCAAGACTTCATCTTACTTACTATGGGCATGGACATGACATGGACATGGACCCGGAGGGACCAGTCCCTGGAGAAGGAGATGCAGCTTGGCAAAGTTGAGGGACAGTGATAAAGAAAAGGACTGACATAGTGACTGCAACAATGGGCTGGAATGTAACAATTGTGAGGATGGCTCATGACCAGGCTGGGTTTCGTTCTGTTATACATGGGTCACTGTGACTCAGAACTGACTCAAAGGCACCTAACAAATGGGACACACTAGGCAATACAGAACATTATCAAAGCAACAGAAAGCCTTGTCTTTCTCCCGCGGATCAGCTGGTAGTTTCATACTGCTGACTTTGAGGTTAGCAGCCTGACTCATAACCCCTACGCTACCAGAGCCTCTACAGTCTGTACTAAGGTGAAGAAAAATACATCAATTAGTTATATAAGGCCACATGATCTGCCCCATATTATAAACAATTAAAGCTAATAAAATCCATTCTACCCTCTGCAATGATGGTTGTAATGATACGACAAAACACAAATGACATCTTGTTTAAGAGAATCAGAAAATGATGTTTCCCAACTGAAGTCCTTATTCTTTCTGTAGAGAAAGCTAAAACAGAGAAAAATTATGGGAAATTCAAAGCAGAGAGGGAGAAAGGATAACATACTATGCAAGACATATTTTGGAGCCAAGCAGGACTTTTCGGTATTAATTGAAGAATCCATCTAACATAGTTGGCTTTATACTTGAAATAATGAGCTTGACTCGTTTTTTGCTGTATAATGTGAGCAATTCCTTTGGTACTTTATCATTAAAACAGTAAAATCATTTAAGGAAAAAGATAATTTGGTTAATACCTTATTCCAGCCGCTGGCATGAACTGCGGTCTCCAGGGTATAGTCCCGATATGCCTGATACGTCACTGGCCTGTAGAGATTTTTTTAAAGTCTGTGTCACAAACAAGGAAAATTCTAAATCTCCTGACGAATAAATATACAGTCGTTACCATGCTATTCAAGTTTTTGCTAAAGTCACCAAATATGTTATTTTCGGTATGATGTGGCTTCTAGGACTTAGTAAGAATTTTTTCTTCAAGCACTTTCTGTAGGCTTAGATACATGGTACCAGTTTTGGAAAGCAGTTAGTAATACTATTGTAATTGTTATTAAGTGTTGTTGAGTTGGCTACCACTCATAACAATACTGCATAGGGTTTCCAAGGAGCTGTTGGTGTGTTTGCATCACTGACCCTGCAGTTCAAACCAACCTTAAGGTCTAGTGCTTATCCTATAGCACCACACCAACAGGTAGTAACTGCTGTTGTCATGTGCTGTTGAGTTTTTTCTGACTCATAGCATCCCAGTATAGGGTTTCCAAGGAGTGGTTGGTGCGTTTGAACCACTGGCCTTGTGGTTCAAACCGACCTTGTGGTCCAGTGCTTATCTGAACAAAATAAGTATCTATTTTAAGAAATATTTTTATAGTTGTTTGAGATATCTTTGGACAGATTTCTATGCTGCAGATAAATGATTGGCTTGTTCATAATCTAGGATCAAGTAGTAACAATCTCATTAATAAATAAAAACATATTTGTTGTTGTTAAGTGACGTTGAGTCGGTTCCGACCCATAGTGACCCTGTATTGGGTTTCTGAGGAGCAGGTGGTAAGTTTGAACCATCAACCTTGCAGTTCAAATGGCTTTGCAGTCTGGTGCATTAACATATATACAGAAAGATAGAGTACAATTATTTAAAATATTTAAAAGTTAAGGAAATGTGTCACCTGGTAACATTTTCAAACTCAGGCTACATGGAGTTTAAATAAGCAAGAGTAATACACAGAGCTCCATTTTAAACTTGTAATCTCATGATATAAAATTCCAGAGGGCAGAAGAATCCTTTTTGAACGTTCCCAGGTTAACCCTACTCATACCAATACTCAAATAATTGATATAACAAAACTCATTCGCTAATTTATTGAGCAACTTTTAGATTCTATATTCTAAGATTTGGCTTCATGTGTAAATGAAGAGAATAAAAAAAGAAAACAAAAAACAGTATCTGATACCAAGTAGCATAGTAGTAGTGGTAGTTAAGTGCCACTGAGTTGGTTCTGACTCATAGTGACCCTTCATTGGGTTTCCGAGGAGTGGCAGCTGGTGGCTTTGAAACTCTGTTATTGCGGTTAGCAGTCCAGTGCCACACCAGGACTCCAAATAGCATAAGATGGTATCAATAGTTTGGATAATAAATTTAATAAAATTTACCCCCCAACTCTTTTTTGAGAAGGTATTAACACATTTATAAAAAGGAGGAGGAAGAGTCCTGCTTATGCCAGGTTAAAAATTCTCATACCAAAGGCACTTGAACACTTACAAAAGATAAGAGACTATCTATCCCAAGACCACACAGCTGACAAGCAGCTGAGTAGGAATTCACAACCAAGTTGATCTAGCTCCAAAGGTTACACCGGTGCAATTTCATGTTAGGATTTTAACACATATCATGACAATGTCTAGATACCCCAACAAGCCAATGAGCATTTGAAATATGGCTAGTGGTGTGCTGAAATTGTAATGTACACAGCAGATTTCAAAAATAGTGAGAAAAAAAAAGATGCAATATATCTCATTAGGAAGTTTTTCTATTTGACTGGCTACATGTTGAAATGATAGTATTTTGGCTATACTGGATTAAATATATTATAAAAGTTTTTTTACAATTTACTGTGTTTACTTTTTTACTTTGAATGTGATTGCTAGAAAATTTTAAATTACATATATTGCTTATACAAGGGGGCTTCAAAAAGTTCGTGGAAAATTCCATTTTTCTACTGGACAGAGCTAATCTTCAGAAAACAGTTCTGGTGGCATGTGTATCAGCCTTTTATACAAATCAATAGCAAATTAATACTACAAGGATACTAAAAGGGGATGAGATATGTAGGAAGGTCTGTCAAATGATAAGGCATTATATACTACTTTTCTGATATCACATTTCCACTAAAGTAACCTTAATATTTTTCAGAACAGTTGAATTAAATGCTAGATTCTTGTAAAACCTGAAGTTCTACTTGCATCTATCAGTCCCTTCTCTTCCTCTCCTGAACCGTTTCATGTTACTATGGGTCATAGTAGTCGTTACTGGTAGATTATCTATCAGACTAACGTACTTTAGCATCGATCTGATTGAAATATAACTTGGAACATTACATGCACATACATAAATAAACACACATAAGTAATCCAGTATATTAAATATTTAAAGGCAATCCTGAATGACCAGCCCTGCCTAATGAGATATTAGAACAATAAAGAAAACAGGGTGGGAATGCATTTTGAATCACTTTACAAAACAGTTTTGAGGAATAGGTGATATATTCTACCTTAAAATATATTATCTTCAACCTGCATAGTACTTTTAGTTCAGCATCAATTAATCATTTTTAAGATCATCTGACTGGAATATGCAACCAGAAACACCAATTATACCAAAATAATTACAATGGCATTCAGAATTTGGGGAAAAACAAAAACAAATAATCATCCAAGATAATTTTCTTGTAAGTTTAATTTACTTTGCACAAAGTGTGAAGATACTGATTTTCCTCATAGAATATAGGGAAAAAAAACTTCTGAAACAATAACAATGGAGTTTTGTGCATTTTTTATAAAAAAATTAAACAAGAAGGAGCTTCAAAGAGTTCATGGAAAAGTGGAATTAAAAGATAACACATTTTTCCATGAACTTTTTGAAGCCCATTTCTGTTAACACTGTTCTTTGGAGAGCTCAGTGAAGTTCAATTTAGAAGATGAGGAAACTGAGATATAAAGAGCACAATTGTATGCTCAAAGCCATAAAGTCTAATCAAAACTGAAAATAGAAATATTTTTGCCCTATACATCTCACTTAAGTTATTTTACTTCCAGTCCCAATAGTTCTTACAAGTTTTCTTTTTAAGTTCCTTTTTTATATAAAGTAGCAGATGTCCTTCAAGTCTTACATGAAACCTCAATATATAAAATACATGAGAGTATATCTGTTCTGGATGAAGAAGACTGAAATGGCCCTATTAAGTCCAACCCATTCAATAGATCCCTCACCACTTCAAGGAGCCTAAGGTACCACAGTGGAAATTTAGAGAGCTTTATTTTTTAAAAAAACAAGAAAGAATTTGGTAGAAATCTTATTTTGTAAACTTTTCTATGTACAAGACTAAGTCCAAACATGATTTTCATTCCACTCTTTCCTAAGTGTTCATTAAAATTTCTACATTTGCTCAATTCACCAGACTATGTAAAAATAAACAGAATTTTCTGAAAACCAAAATTGCTTCCTTCAAACAAATGGTAAACTAGCAAGCATAACCTGCTTGAGAGAGAGGAATTACCTAATCGTCATTTGGCATCTAAATGCATCTGAATTTGGGCCCTTTCAGCGAAGGAGCAGCCTTTAATCTGTTTTAGGAAGTTTTTAATCTTTATTAAGACAAAACATTTTTGATTCCTAATTCACACCTATTCCTTAATGATCCTCACTAAAGAATGAGGGGAAATCAATTTTTTAAATTTACAATGAATTACTTTGTTTCACACTTTAACATACTTTCACTATTACTTGCTTCTTGCCTTAACTTTAACCATGAAAACCATAGCGAGGAACCTGCAGAAAAGTGTACTGTTTGGCTGTTTGGATTTCGAGCAAGCTGCTTGCTTTGGAGGCATCAGGATTAAAGAAAAAAAGTCAACCCATCAGGGAAAACCCCCTTCAGGACTGAGACTTAAGGGAACCCGTGAGCAGTCTAGTATGCTCGCTGGTGACTACCTGGGTCTACTTGTAAGTGGAAGTTGGGGAAATGCAACAATGAAGATCTGAGTTTGACAATTCTCCATTGTCACCTGTTGACCCTGAGATGAGAGAGAGAATAAGAAGGTCTGGTTGGTCTGACATTTAGGAAGATGTGTGAACTCCTGAGCCCATAAGGGCTGAGAGTGAAGTGGCTAGCTGCTCTGAAGTACAGGGAAGTGTGTGTGAATTCCCACACTTGCAGCTAGTACCCATCTGACCTATCTTGGATGGCCAAAATGACCAGAACTCAACCCGAGGAAGATAAAGACGTTTGATATTATGAAAAACTACAAATTGCTACAATTTGACAAACTAGATTTTTGCTTATGAATGCAGTGACTCAAAATCCCAATCAGAATGGAAGGATTCTTCATATCAAGAACAACCTTGTTTCCTCAGTGCATTGGGTTGATATGGATGATAAATTTAGACATTGGCTATCAAAAATGGGGGTGCCTATATAGTCATGAGGAGTCCTGGTGTGGTGCTGTGGGCTAATGCATTGGACTGCAAAGTCAGTGTGAACCACAAAGTTGGCGGTTCAAGTTCACCAGCTACTCCTTGGAAACTTTATATAGGGTCACTATGGGTAGGAAGCGACTCGACGGCACTTTAATGACAACAATATAGGCATGAAGCGGCCAGCTTACAAGCTTTCATGTGTGTGCTTAGTTTCAGAATGAGGAGGGGTAGTGGAGGTGTGCCATGGAATCAGTTATGACTCATAGCGACCCAGCATGGGGTTTCTGAGGCTGTAAATCTTCACGGGAGCAGAAAGCCTCATCTTTCTCCTGTGGAACAGCCGGTAGTTTTGAACTGGCCTTGGTTAGCAGCCCAACTTGTAACCACTATACTACCAGAGCTCCTCAGCATGAGGGGAATAAGGTAGAATCTCCACTGAATAGTTTCCCTCTTTTCCAGATGGATCTGGAAAAGGGAACAGGATAACAGTAATAAGATTTTAAGACTCAATTGTGAATAATTGTTAGCAGGATCAACGGTGAATATTACAACTCTAATTATATGTACAACTAAAAGAGGGGGGCAGTTAACCTTTCATTTCAGGAACAAATAATCCCAGGACCACCAAGAAGGAAGGAGCATGAGATTTATACCTAGAAAACTGGTGACAGCAGAGACAATGGCAGAGGTGGTAGCATGGAGAAACAAGAGGAGTTGCAGGCTCTAGGCCCATGGGCCAAGAAAGGCTGTGCATCTGCAGGCAGGAGGCTAACTGGCAGAATGTGCCCTTTGGCCATTTAAATAAATGTATCTCTTTTTGTTTTGTAAGTGTACAGTAAATATTTTTGCTTTGTTCATTTGTGAAATATAAAATGTAAATGGGGAGGCACAGGGAGAAAGCAAGGTAACTGTTTTTGCAGAGAGGCGATTGTAATCACTGAGATGAAACAAATTTGCTGCATGTAAAGATGATGATCTTGTCTGTGAACCTTCATCCAATTCACAATGTTGTTGTTATGTGCCGTGGAGTCAGTTCCAACTCATAGCAACCCTGTACAGGGTTTCCGAGGCTGTAAATCTTTACAGGAGCAGAAAGCCTCATCTTTCTCCCACGGAAGAGCGCTGGTAAGTTTCGAACTGCTGACCTTGCAGTTCGCAGCCCGAGTTGTAACCACTAAAAACAACCCATAGCTAGGAGCTAAGCTCCTATTGTAAGAATGTGAAGTAGGTAGATGGGCAGATGTGCAACCTTAAGTTTAGCAAAATCTGAGATACCTAAAATACAGATTTAATGTCAATCTTACATTACAATGAAATATACACAACCTTAGTCATTATATTTGCATGGGCTGGCAATTGGTCATACAAAGTAGTTAAGACAAATTAAGTAGTCTGTAAAAAGAGCTCAGTAAAAGCATCTACTGATGCCCAGTAGCTGAACAAGTAAGTTCAAAATTACTGACTTTTGCTAAACAACTAAATCACAGCTTTGATGGGAAGTTTTCACATAAAACCACAAACAGAAGCTTTGGTAAAACCAAAGAAGTGAGAAAAGAAGTGATACCATCCACCTAAAACAAAGCCTTAACCAATCCTGTTCTGCATAAGCAACCTACACGCTACTTAAAGGAACGCATTCCCACTCAACAATGGTAACTCACTGGCTAAGCAGCATTTGCAATGCTTTATACAGAGGCTCCTTCAGTTCTTGGGACACTTTTTCTCCACGATGGGACAAGCAATCTTCTATTGAGCTTTCTGGATTAGCAGGGCTGAAGACTGGCGACGTGTGACGGTCAAAGCCCGTGCTGGTGAAAGCTAAAGAGAAAGCAAAAGAAAAACCTAACTTAAAAAACATCAAAAGCTATGCTATAAAAGCCCAGGGGGTAAAAACACTTACGACTGGGAACAAACTAGTAGGTATAAGCCACAAACATGCCAGATAATCATTATGGATACTAATTTTTCCTGAAACACAAAAATTGATTAAGGCCTCAATCTAGACAACTTTGTTTAACAGAAAAGGAGTTAAAATTTAGTTAAAATTCAGAAATCTGAATTTTAAGAGAAGAAAAAGACTAAGCTAACATATTAAAATACACTAACAAATTTCATATAGAACTACTGGTACAGAATGATAAATGAGAGGAAAATCCTGGCTGTACCACCCTTCTCTTAATTTATATAACTTTTTTCTTAACCTTTTAAATGTGATGCTTCTTAAACCAGATTCTAATAGGAATCCTGGTGTGGTGCTGCAGGATAAGCTCTGGACCACAAGGTGAGTTCTAGCCATAAGATCAGCAGTCAGTGGTTCAACTCACCACCACTCCTTGGAAATTCTATATAGGGTCGCTATGAGTCAGAACTGACTCAATGGCACTTAACAACAACAACAAAGCAGTTTACACTACCTTGGAGAAAGACTCAATAACTTTCTCTTTCAAACTCACAGGGATAAACTTAAAAACTGTAAAGATCATACAAGTATAAAAGTTGCATATTGAAGAGAAGCAGTCATATTATCAGCCTTCTAACTCCCAATTATACAAACTTAATCATTTTCTAAAGGTAATAAAATATAATCACTGTTTTTCCAAGATACAAGAGCTGCAAGGCAGAGAATCCGTATAAAGTATGAGGTTTGCACCTAATTCCAACAGTTATTAATCATGTTCATTAAGAAATAATAGGGTGAATGTTATGGCACGTGAAGTATGTAAAAATAAAGCTGTAACATTCTTGTACAAGTTTTTGTGTGAACACATATTATACTCATGGAAGTGTTAATTATGTAAGACAAAACAAGAAATAATCCAAACGCTCCCCTCAACAATAAGGAACAATTGTGCAAATATTCAATCAATGGTAATGATTATAAAATAATAACATTTTTAAAGCTCATGAAAAAAAAATAGAAGGCTTATGCCATGGCCTTTAGTTCTTGACCTTTGGTAGAAATAATAAAGCACTGTAAGAAAGAAAACGCTTTAAAAAAAAAAAAAAGTTTATGACGTAATGCTACAACCATCTGTATACAATTCTCACCTTCCATGCATAAGACTAGGGTCTGATTCCCAGCCAATGTACCTCAAGTACATCCATCACCGGTCTATCAGTGGAGGCTTGCAGTGTTGCTATATTATTAGACAGATTTAAGTGAAGCTTCTAGACTACGATATACTAGAAATAGAGGCCTAGCAATCTACTTCTGAAAAATCAGCCAATGAAAGCCCTCTGGATCATAATGGTCCAATTCCATTGTGTATGGGGTCACGATGAGTTAAGTGCTGACTCAATGGTAACAAACGACAACAAGATAGCATTTATACCAGTAAAAATGGAATGCCATAATTGGTATATAAAGTTGCCAAAAATCAACTGAATGGAAAGGACTTTAACATGATCATTTAATCCTTCACATGAAGAGGTACGTCTAAATTGTTGGGTATACTTTGGAACATTTTACAAACATATTCCCCAGGAAACAAAAAGGCTATCTTCCAATTTCACCATTATAATCATACACTAATTAAGTGTTTAATATTGAAACTGACAATAATCAAGTCACACCAAAACTGAAACCATTAATTAACTAAGAAAATGAGAATAAACTGACCTTCAGAAATTTCTTTGTCCAAAGATTTCAGCTCTTCTTCAATTTCATTTTTAACTTTTAACAGAACTTCTTGATCCAGAGATTGTGAAGCTATATCTAGTTGAAGCCCTAAAACCAACAATAAAAAAAAGGTTTTACTAAAGAGAGAGAGGGAAAGAAAGCCAATAGAATACCACAATAATTTTTAATCAAGTTAGAAATGGGCTCAAATGCAGCACCAATGAGCTCAGATGCAACAATTGTTAGGATGGCGCATGACCAAACAGTGTTTCACTGTATTGTACAAAAGATCACTGTGAGTTGAAATTGACTGGATAGCACCTAACAACAACAAAGTTAGAAAATATAAAATCAAAATTCTTTGTCACAGCTACGTCTAGAAAATAGTTTTAAAAACAATTTTAAAAAGAAAAGACTTAGTAGAAGTATTTGGATCTGTGTACTAGGAGTGTAATCGGCTAATTATGGTAGTAGTGGTGGGTGTGTGCCATGATGTTGGTTCTGACTGATAGCAATCTGTATATAAATCTTTATGGAACATCTGGTGGACTTGAACAGCTGACCCTTCCATTAGCAGCCTAGCATGTAATCCACTATGCCACCAGTGCACTTTCTGTTAAGTATAGAAACAATAATTCTATCTTTTCAGATGTTTCGCCAAGAATAGGAACAGAGACCAGAACTTTCAGAAACACATTCACTCAACAAGAGGTTGGGGAAAATAATCCATATTAATACACAAAAACCCTCTCATTTTATATACAATGTATTCTTTTTAAAAAAACCTCATCTATTGCTGGCAGGATTGTAAGATGGTACAGTTTGCTATGGCAAACTGTTTGGTAACTAGTTTAAAAGTCAACCATAAAACTACCAGCAATTTCCCTCCTAGCATATATCCAAAAAGAACTGAAAGTAGGAATAAAAACAACTACTTGTATTATCAATGTTCACTGCAGCACTATTCATAACTGACAAAAAAGGTGGAAACAATTTCATTGCCTATCAACAGATGAATGGATATAAAAAATATGGTCCATACATATAAAGAGAACAAGTTTCACAGTTTCTTCTGACATCTGTTTTGGTCTTTTCATTCTTTCCTGTCATTCATTTTGAATGATCTTTTGCTTCCTTCATGTATGGTATCCTTGATGTCATCCCACAATTTATCTGGTCTTCAGTCATTAGTGTTCCATCCATCAAATCTATTTTTGAAATGGTCTCTAAATTCATGTGGGATATGATAAAAGTCATACTTGAGCTCCTGTGGACTTGTTTGAATTTTCTTCAGCTTCAACTTGTACTTGCATATGAGAAACTGATGGACTGCTCTACAGTTGGCCCCTGGCCTTGTTTTGACTGATAATATTGAGCCTCTCCATCATCTCTTTCCACAGATGTAGTCAATTTGATTCCTATGTATTCCATCCAACAAGGTCCACAAGTATAAGTATTTCCAAGAAATAGGTTGCTGTTCTTATAAAATTCTATCATACAATCCCTGTTGTTTCTTGGCATCATTTCTATCACTAAGGCCATATTGTCCAACTGCTGATCCTTTTTGTTTCCAACTTTTGAATTCCAATCACCCGTAACTATCAATGAATCTCGATTGCATGATTGATCAGTTTCAAATATACGGATAAAAGTCTTCAAATTCTTCATCTTTGGCGTTAGTTGTTATTGTGTTGTTAAGTGCCATCGAGTCAGTTCCAACTCAAAGCAACACTGTATAGGGTTTCCAAGGAGTGACTGGTGAGTTTGAGCAGCCAACTTTGCAGTTCAACATGACCTTGCAGTGCTTATCTTACAGCACCACACTAGGACTCCGTGGTATTAGTGGTTGGTGTATACATTTGAGTAACAGTTGTATTAACTAATCTTCTTCTTGTAATGTGTAGGGTTCCTAAGGCTATAAATATTTATGGGAGCAGAAAGCCTCATCTTTCTCCCACTGAACGGATGGTGGGCTCAAACTGCCAACTCTGTAGTTAGTAATCCAGTTCTTATCCTACAGTACCACCAGAACCCCTGGTCTTCATATACAGCACAGGGATACTATCCTATCACTGTCAATGTTGTATTTCAGAATAGTTTGAAATATTCTTTTTGACAATGAATGTAACACAGTTCTGCTTCAATCTGTCATTCCTGGCATAGTACACCATATGACTGTCGCATTAGAAATAACCAATACTAGTCCATCTCCCTAAGGTCTGGGTTATTACTGTTCTTTCAGTGTTACACTTCACTTTTAAAAACTTCCATTTTTTCAACATTTCTATTATTAATGGATGTTTACAGCTGTTTCTTTTCATTTTGAATCATGCCACATCAGCCAATAAAGGTCACAAAAACTTTACTCTCAACCACATCATTCGGCCCACTCTACTTTGAGGAGGCAACTCTTCCCAGGCGTATTTTGAGTGTCTTCCAACTTGAGGGGCTCATCTACTAGTATTACATTAGACAATATTCTTCTGCCTTTCATAAGGTTTTCACTAGCCAGGTACTTCAGAAGTACGTTCTTTTTCCTAGTCTGACTTAGCTTAAAGTCATAATAGACTTTGAAACTTGTTCTTGAACATAAGGTACCTAAAACAAATGAAAGAAATGTTGAAGAGAAAAGAGCTAAAAATACTGAATAGGACCAATAGTGTAAAAGACTAAGAAAAAGAACCCATACTAAAGGGAGCTGGGGGATTCCTTGCTAGTTACTAGGATGTGGGGAGGGAGGGGAAGGTGGAGCACTGGGTAGGGAATAGATACAGGATAGTTTGGGTGCTAGGGAGGGGGGCAATACACAAGAAGGGGGAGGGGAATGGAAGAACGAAGCAGACGGGAAAACAATTAGGCAGGTTTGCATGGGCTAAGTGGGACAGAGGTAAATAATGATGTATGTACAACCTTGGAATAACAGGGCTCTGGAACACAGGGATTGAGATATGGTTGGAATGGGGAAACGGGGGGAAATAATGTTAAGATGCTTGGCTGTCTTTTGAATCTTGGTTTCCATGGCATACCATCATAAAATAGACACTTGAGGGGGAGAAAAAGGAATAGCCAGAAATATCACCATAGAATGCTTGTAAATCTGTCTTCCGCCTATAAATGATTAGAATACCTAAAATAGGTCTATAAGGTGCCCAGTGCAGGAGGCTTCCTGTGGAGCCCCTGCATTACATAAGACCATAGGAGGAATCCTGAACAGCATCCAGAATCTTCTGAGGTGGGAAATTTCCACTTGAAAGAATAAGCAGACCAGCCAGGAGCAGCTAGAAGAATAAAAGATACTTCTTGAAAGAAAGACCGACAGGAAAAATACAAAACAGTAACGGTAGACTGACTGATTATTACATGAACAAGCAAGTTGCTCACCAGGAGACATCAAGGCAAGTGGTCGGGCCCCCTCAGGGAAAAATCCCTTCTAAGACTATGACTCAATGGGAATACACACTCTGATTGGTGACCATGTTGGTCACCGGTAATGGGAAGTGAGGGAAAAACAGCAATGAAGCTGCGAGCTAAGCCCTACAACGTTCAATAGACTCCTGTGAACCCAGGGGGAGACCTGGTTGGCCAGCAGTGTGGCAAGACCTGGGGACTCTTGAGCCCAGAGCCAGTGACACAGTCACAGAGGACTAGAATGGAGAGTGAAGCGTCCAGCTGATAGGCATAGAGGGCATATGCAGAAGAACACCCACACTTACAGATAATACCCACTTGATCTGGCTTCAATGATTGGATGATCAGAGCTCAACTAGAAGAAGAAAGAAGATGAAAAAAAGATGAATCTGATACAATTTGATGCATTTGACCTACACCTACGGATGCAGTAGCTCAAAACAGGGAACAAATCTTTATAGCGAGGATCATTCCCACCCCTTCCATACACAGAGTAGACATGGATGGGTAACTTAGACATTGGCTACCCAAAATGGCGGGGGGCGGGGGGGCTACGAAGGCAAGAAGTGACTGGCTTACAAGCTTTCAAGAGGGAACCTAAATCCAGAGGGCGTGGAAGAAGGTAGAATTTCCACTGAGTAGTATCCAATCTGTCTGGGCAGGGCTGATGAAAGGAGATGGGGACAATACTCTTGTGGTATAATAGTGAATAACTGTTATCAGGACTGACTCTGAGGGTTGGTAATGTAAAGGTAGACATTTAGTAGCAAAAGGAGTGGAGTGATTAACTTCGCAGTTGAGAGGGACCATCAAAGGAGAAGAGTGGAGAGCGGGACCCTACCCAGAGAAGCAGTGACGCCAGAGACAATGATATGGAGAGATGGAGCAGCTGGAGACTTTAGACCCAGAGAGGGAGAGGGGCTGTGTGCCGATGACCGACGACCAGGGGAGTGGGGGGGCAGGCTTGTAGCGTATACCCTTTGGTTGGTTGATGATGTATGGAGGGGATTGTTGTAACCATGGCAATGAAACGATATACGATAGGATGAATGTAAAGCTAATGTTCTCACATGTAAGCTATCACATAATTCACAATAAAACATTTAAAAAAATTTTTTAAAAGAGCTAAACAGAGTATTTCAAAAAGAAGCTTGAAATGACAAAGTAAAAGTATTATAATAAAATGTGCAAAGACCTGGAGCTTATTTAAAAAAAAAAAAAGAGAAGAACATGCTCTCGGCATTTATAAAACTGAGAAAACTGATGGAATATTCCAGCCTCGACATTTTGAACAGTGCAGAAGCATCCAAAGAAGATAAAAAGAATACACAGAGTCACTCTTTCAAAAAAAACATTCGACGTTCAATCTTTTCAAAAGGTGTCACTTATTTTAAAAATCTATGGTAGTGAAGAGGTCCAAGCTGTAGTGAAAGCACTGGAAAAAAACCAAGGCTCCAAGAATTGACAGAATACCAACTGAGATTTTTCAACAACTAGAAGTAATTCTAGAAGTGCTCACTCATCTATGCCCAGGAATCAAATAGAAAGCTACCTGGCCAATGGACTGAAGAAATACATTATCTGTGCCCTTTCCAAAGAAAGGTGATCCAACAAAATGTGAAAATTATCAAACAGTATAATTAATGTCACACACACAGTTTTGCTGAAGATAATTCAAATATGGTTGCAGCAGTACATCA